TTAAGATGTTCAAATGCATACTTATAATAGTATTGTAAAAATTAGAAAAGTATTGTAAAAAATTGTATACACGAACAAATATATTATTGATTTCGCTGAATGTACGTCGAATGCATTAGGGAAAAGAATGGCTATCTAATGTGAAAGTTTTCACTGGAATGTACTGGTGTTTTACTAATTGTATCTCAAAATTCATTTATGAGTTACGATCGGATAGCAAAAAAAAAAAAACATTTTTTTTCTTATCTTTTTTTAATGTATATATATAAATCGGAACTATTGCATCTTCCCGTATCTCGCTTCTTACCCGACAAGACTGATGAATGCCCATACAGACCCTCAGAGCGCGAGAAGCTGGCAATTGATGTATGAACCACTTTGGATCGTAATAATAAATAAGGCCAACTTTTCCCCCGACCGTGATATTAATGCTGGTAAAGTGCGAACAGGGGTGTGGAAGTAGCCGAGGGGGAATATGCGATGCAAAAATATTGAGGCATAACAGAGCCTTGGGAGGACAATATTGTACCCTGAGGTACCCCTCTTTATATACATACCTAGCCCGAAAAGTTCTATATTATTTCCCTTTGAAATATTGAACCCTATTATCTTTCAGGGGAACATCTGTGACTGTCTATTCAAAGCATACATACATCAGATAGCGTCGACTCCTTTAGAGTTCTCACGTCTACTTCGGTGAATATTTGAGTAGATTGATTAAATCAAAACATGTTTTTTTTTTTTTTACTTCAAGACTCAAGTTAACAATTGACTTAACGACATTATATAACATAAAGATAAAATAGAATGATTTAGAAAATCACTTAATCATGGTTGTAGGGAATAAATCGGCAAAAAATATTTTAAAATAAAAATTATAATAAGTAAATATAATGTAAATAATATAAAACATAATAGTACTCATTGGTGGCACTTCAACGATTATTTTAATATAGTAGATCCCTTCAGTATCTTTTCAGAAGCCTTTGAGGATTACCTGAAGACTTTGGGATGAAACGTTATGAACTGGAGGGTTTGGGTGAACAAAGAGATTGCATTTTCACAATATACGAGTATATTTATTTCGTGCCAAATATGCAATATATGAAATATTGAAGCTTTTATGGATAATTGTATTGGTTACACATTATAAGGAGTATTAAGGATTCAACGGTGGATATTGAATTGTAGGGATTGGATTCGGGAAGAATTTTATGGTTTTGTGGAGCCCCAAGGCCCGATTTAGAATGTTTCAATTGGCCTGATAATGGTATATATATATATATATATATGTCTTGTTTTTGTAGTATATTGGAAGTTAAAAGCATTTGTCAGGTAAATTCTAAAAGCAATTTTTTATTGTCTTGTATGAGGATATTTTTTTTCATTATTTCAATTTCTGATTTAATGAGAAAAGTAAGCTTATGGAAATATCTTGAGCGATATTTCGTTTTGCAAGTTTCTTTATTTTTATAAAATTTTATTAGTAATATTTTTTTTTTTTTATTTCAGAGTTTATATTCGAAACAGGAATTTCAGAATGTACATATAGCACCCCATAGTCAGTCAAATAATCTAATTTTTAAAAACCAATATAATTTAATTAAGATTTTTCATTTAGTCATTTCTTTTTATCACTAATAAATGGTATGTCGACTTTTTTTTTGGGTAAATTAATGTTTATTGCACAGATTTTATTCCGAGTCAAAGGCATTTCGTATAATATTCCTCCGATCAAAAGAAGTTATTCCACCTGGCAAGTTTCCTTACGGGAGGAAAAAAAAGTAATGAAAAACTTGAAGCTCGGTACCTTAAAATTCTTTAAGATGGGAAGGAGGGGGGCGCTTCAATACTGGAACTTTTCACATCTTTTTTTTTTATTATTAGATAACCGGGAATCTTGGGAGAGTTATGGATGGTCCCCCCCATACAATATGCATATAAAAAGCCGCGCTTCCCCAAGCCATTATAAGGGAGTCATCTTAGAAACAATGCCTTAATCCCAGACGTGCAACAAATATCTGCTGGTTATGCCCCTCCATTAGCTCCAACCATAGCTCACCTCAGTATTACCTTTTCGATAGCTTCCTTCCTTCTTTCCCCTTCTCCCGTAAAAAAACTTGCTTAGCTTGCTATATTCCATTCGAAAGAGAACCAATTAAAAACAGTTCTAGTTATGAATATCGATTGATATGTTTTCTTAGTTATGTATTAAGGATATTATACAATAATACTTTCTGTTGACTGAAATGTATTTATATTTTTTAAAACAAATTCTTATCTACATACAATATTTACATTCCCCAGAGAACTTTTTGCTTCCTTCTCTCTGAGAACTCGGCTTGCATGCTGCTTTATATAATTAGGAAAGCTTTGTGTTTCGGACAGGAGTTAAAATCAATTTCCACAAAAATCGAAAATTTCCACTCTCGTTTGTCGGGCTGTTTGTGGTCAATTCCATCTGGCGGACATCTGATTTTCATGGAATTTTCAGGGATTGTGCGGGTTGGTGCCTGGATGTTCCCATACCAATTTCATCGGATTCCTCTCCAGTACTTTAGTGTACGCAGGCGTAAATACATTTTTCCTTTTTTCGATCTGGCTCAATATTGGAAGAAATTTAGGGATTAGTAAAAAGAAATAATGCTGAATCAATTTTATCAAATTTCATTCACTAGTCTTTATAACATATGCACAATATACTTAAAATAACTACTATTATTGTATTTCCCTTAGAATTTATTCTCAAACGAAAAATTATAGCCCTCGAAATACTAGTAATTACTTTGCAATTGTTCTACTAGCTATAGTCCGTGGTACAGACCCCCTTTTATAAAATTATTTACATCCGCCTGAAACTTCGTAAATAGCTTCGTTTCATCGTAGCCTACAACTATATTATTTACGAAAATTTTCGAAACGGGGAATTTTCAATCTGTAGGCCAGCAAACTTTGTCTATTTAATGAGGTACTAAAAAACTCGTAAATACCCATTTGCTTTCCACTTGAATCGCAAGATAATTTGAGCAAAAAATCGAGAAGGTGGCCTTCAAAAATATTGGGCCGTTTAGAGTGACCTTCACTCCCAAAATGTCAAAATATGAGGTTATATAGGCCAAACGGTCCAATATTTTTTCTTGATTTTGTGATCAAATTGTTTAACGATCCAAGTGGATAGCAAATGGGTATTTACGAGTTTTCAGTACCTACTTAATTAAATAGAAAATTTTTGCCGACCCACAGATTGAAAACGCCCCAATTCCAAGAGTTTTCGTAAATAAAATATTTATAGTTTACGATGAGATGAAGCTATTCATTAAGTTTCAGACGGATGTTAATAATTTGATAAAAATGGGTCTGTACGACGCACTACTATGTTGTGCCTACCTGACTCATATTATTTATTTTTTTCTTCATGTGACAATATTTCAAACATCACATTCTTGGCAGTAGAATTGCATTTAGTATTGAGGATCGTTGTTCAATAAATCGTTTAAAAAAACGAACGAGCCCGGTGCAAACGAGAAGTGGACCCCACGAGCTTTCAATTGTTTTGTCGACGGGAACAGGACAACGGACGCCAATAATTCCAGATCTAGTTCCTGAGGCTGTGACAGGCCGACAAAGAGACCTTACTTCCTTGAATACTTTCAAAAATGACATTGCTAAATCTCTCGTACTGGAACATATTGTCCCTTTCGATGAGACTGCATCAATTATTGTCATTTTTTTGTTAAAATGCGATTCAAAACTGTTTGAATCACAGATAAAGATTACTCCATGTTCTCGTCGGTTTTGAGAGTCATTTATCCGGCATGATCAGTGATGGCCCCTTTTCCCTTACGTAACATCTTTCTTATCGCGTCATTTTCGAATTGCTTTATAATTACGATAAGGAGGCTGTGTGATTTTATTATGTTTACTGAGGTGATTTATGTTAATTGCACTGAGCATTTGAATGTGGTATTTGACTGGTATAATTTCGATTACCTCGTATTATCTGAAAAAGTTAATTCATGATGAAATAATAAAAAGTTAAATATAAGATGAATCACTGGTTTTTTTTTATTTTATTTATTTTTATGTCTTATTAATATTTCCTTCAATTTAATATTTTTTTTGTTTTGTTTTTTTAATATGTCTGGTTTCAGTCTACAGGTGGTTTCTTTTGTTCATAGCCCACAGTACAGACCCCTTTTAATCAAAATTTTTGGTTTAAACCTTAGCAAAAATAGCAATCTGTAACATTTTTACATAAGAAAATTCTCAGTATTGGAGCGTTTTCAATGTTGATATCGGTAAACTTTGTCTATTCCATGAGGTACTAAAAAAACTCGAAACCCATTTCCTTCCCAATAGAATTATGAGATAATTTGATCACAAAATCGATAAAAAATGAGGCCTACAAAAATATTGCGCCCTTTGGCGTGACCGCCACCCACAGCATATCAAAACAACGAGGTGATATGCCAAAAGGCCCAATATTTTTGTAGGCCACCTCTTTTTAACGATTTTGTGATCAAATTATGTTAAGATCCAAGAGTAACTTTGCTTTGGGTATTCGTGGGTCTTTAGTAACTAATTCAATTAATAATAATTAATTTCTTGAGAAAACGCCACACTTCTGAGAATTTTCGTAGACAAAAAAGTTTTAGGTTACAATAAAATTAAGCCACTCACGACGTTTTATACGAGTGTTAATAACTTGATGGAAATGGGTCTATATCACAAACTAAAAGCTTCAAGTTTCCCATTGAGTGTTTAAGTTTTTTTAGAGTTAACAGATTTTCTGATATAAAAAAAAATCTCTTTAGTAGCTGTTCAATATTAGTTTAAAGTCAAATTTTGTTTCGTACTTAAATTAGTGGTGGTTTTTTTTTTTCTTTTTCTTTTTTCCCCAAGCCAATATAACTTCAGCCTGTTGAAACAGGTCGGATGTGGAAAGCTACCACCCCCTGTCATGGGCCATCAATCTGACTGTTGTCTTTTCTATCTTGCAGCGGGCGACGCTCGCTGAGAAGGAAGTGTCAGCCCTCAAGGAGCAACTGGCGGCCTCCAACCATTCAGACAACAAAATGGCCGCCGTCACCCAGGGAAATGAAGAATTGGTTAACCGATCTTCAATTGAGTTGGAGCTTTCCGCCAAAGACAAAGAGGTAAGTAGTCCACCTTAGTATTTATGACGATAATGTAATATATGGAGAAAAAGATGATTTCCATATTTTCTGGACATCATTAGGTTGTGGCATTGGAGATCGGGAAATGTGTCTGGAGCCTTAACTGGCCTCTATAAAACCTGGGAAATTGGGTGGTTATGTGTGATAGCCAAATCAAAACGTCATTCTACACTTCCTTCTAATAAATAGCTGTTGGTGTTAGTTTATCGTCCGCTATTTTTATCACTAATCAATCATTACTTATATCTATGATTTCTATTTTTTAAAAAAATTATTTCATAAATATGAAATTAATTGTTAATTTTTTTCTAATTTTTTTTTTGTTGGTTAAAAAAGTTAATTTTACGATGTAATTAATATTAGTTAGGCACACTTAATCAAATTTGTTTTTGGTGTTTCCTTACTTTAATTCATTAAAATATTCTAATTTCTGAAGTTTATGACATTGTGTTAAGTTTTTTTTTTGTTTCGATTATACCATTTATCAATCAATATCAATATCAATATAAAAAGTAATTGCTATTTAGTTTATTTAGTGGCATATTCTTATATGCTAATTAATTTTTGGCTGCTCAATATCGATATATAATACAAATACCATCCATTGAATGGAGAAGTTCTCGGTTGTTCCGTAGCTGGCCAGGTACCAATGTTGTCATATCTTAACATCTCTTGTGGGCGTCGCTCCAACTAAGCAACATTACATAGGGAAGGCTGCATGTGACGGCGAAGCCTCATTTTTTTTCTTAAGAGATATTCAGAATTATTTTAATACGCATTACACGCACTAATTTCATATCGCTTTTTTCCCCATCGAAATGTCCCTCAATAAGGGATAAATATTACACAGGTGGTTCAGTGATTGATATCGAACACGGTCAAACATTTGCAAACATAATCTACCGCCTGGACACGTTTATAAGCAGCCTCTTTGTATCGGAACGCGTGAATCCGTGAGTAATTATGTCTATTTTGACATTCGTGTCATTACTTGAGCGTAGGCAGGCTGGCTATTCACTCATATTTGCATTTGTGAGAGCGGATATTGTAACGTTCCGGTCTATGGCCACGATCGGGAGTGAGTCATTGCTAACTACTGACTCCCTTCTCTTCCCACAGCCAACTCTTCGCACTGTCGATTTTTTTTCAACACATCCAGCAAACAACACCGTCGAAAACACCTCTGCTTCGTATGGTTCCCAACCGAGGAAACCAGACTTACAGAAAAAATTGCAAGATTAGCCAGAACATTTCCATTTTAAAACCTGGATACCTAACCATAAAATAATATCGAAACTTTTTAACTCAAGGCCATTTTTTATTTAGGACGACTTGAGGATTAAGATTGATCCTGAATTTAATTCATAATCTATAAATATTTAAAAAATATATTAGAATTAAAAAATAATTCTTCTAATTATTTATTTTTACACACGCTATGAAAATAGGTGATGGATGACTCACTGTGTAGAATTTTACTCATTTTCTGGTTTTCATTCAAGATATGTTTGTACCAAATGTGGACGACTTTTTAGGAAATTTTTAAAACATTTTCATGTTTTCTCGGTTATTTTTTGCAAATATTCCACGGTATCGAAATAGCTGTAAGAGTCTTCTTAAGTTATTTTAAGTGGATATTTCTTTATGAGAAATTTTCTACAGCTGTAAACTAACTAACTACTCACTATCATTTGTCAAAAAATAATTTCAATTTTAAATCTTGTACATCATAGATTTAAAGTAAATTATTGGACATTCTCACAGCATACAAATCATTTTTTTAAAACAATATATTTCAAATTAGTGATATTTTAAAACTTTATTATTTGGTTATATGATCTCAAGTTGACGTAGTGAATGTTTCTATATAATAATTTAAAAAAAAAAAAATGAAGAAACCAAATTAGTTGTGTTCCAAGATAATTAACGCTTTATTTAACTATTTTTTATCAATCGCAATAGATCCACATGTTACACCATGTATACTTCAAGCGACACGTGTATTCCCTTCTCCAAAATTTCTTTAAATGGCTTGGTCTCTGAAGCAGAAGGAGTATTTCACTAACACCTGCTTTTCAAACTATCAGAAAATTTTAAAATTTCGACCGAAATTCCCTCTGATGCTTCTAGGGCAAACGGAACCATGTTGGATTCCAGCGCCTCCTAGATAAATAGAACAAAACTATTCTGTACACTGTTTTGAGATTTTGATTCGAAGTGACTAACCGAGAAAACAATTTCTAAATATATTGCCTCCCCCTAACCAAGTTGACATGGAAGACCATCGAATCATTTTCAACCGAGTACCTGTCTAATAATAACACAAGTTGTTAGGGCATTCAACAAGGGATCTATTTCAAGATCAGTGTCAATGATTCCATTAAATACTGGTCATTTCCTGTTGCCTTCTCAATTTTTCAAAATATAAATCTATTTTATGCCTCGACAAATTTAGAAAAAATCTGAAATGTGACGTATGATATAAATTGAGAAATATATTTCTAACTATTTTTTTTTAATGCCTTCATCATTTTTCTTTTTTTTTATAAGATGCCATCAGCGCCATTACGAAAATTGTTTATTGATAGATAATTGACGTATGCTATCCATTGGCGGATTTAGGATACCATTTTAGAGAGGCTAAACTTTTTATAAAAATTTAGAAACGATAATTATTAGAACAATAATGCTCTTTGGGGTGACATTTTTTGTTGACGCGTGCTTTGTAGTCGAAGAACATGCGCGATGGTTTCAAAAGAGAATATGTGATTGTTAAAGTATTTTTCAGAAATCATTAATAGAAACAAATGTGTGCAAATGAAAAAAAAAGTCTATTTGGGGGTTCCCCCTTCCCTTTGATTCCGCCAGTTATTGAAGCTTCAGTTAAATTTTACGGATATTCGAAAGACCGTTCGTTCCTTTCCGTCACAAGTTTTAACTTTCTGTTCAAAATTTTGTTTCATCACCCATTTTGTATGTTCAAATAAAACGAATCATAATTTGCCCATGTCCTGACAATCTAAGATGGATGATTCATTCTTCGTTTCCATTGTCCTTGTATATTCTTTCAAGTGCCATCATTGTGTGACATCCGGTCAGCATTTCACTCGTTACTTCTTTATCCGACATATTCACTCTTGTGAATATTTCATTGCACTAAATATAATTTTTGTAATTAGTTACTTCAAATTATTATGTATCCGGATTTTGTGAATCCTGCCCAAAGAAACAGTCTCCTTTAGACGCCTTATTGAGCAAAATTTCAATCGTTTCATGTTGAGAATGAATCTGTTTCTGTCTTCATGTCATACTTTATATTAGATTCTATCCGTTCCATTATTTTAAAAAGTTCATCCTGGAGTTTGTAATAAAATATTCAACCCTCGACAATTCGACATAACACAAACTTCACTAAAACTGAAGGCAAACATTCCAGTGAGCCACTAAGTGGTTCTATGTACGTCTTTCCACGTCCTCATTTCCTAGAAACGGTCCTTTCAACTTTTATTCCGGTTTTCACTATTTTTTTTTAAATGTCCCTAACTTGAATGCAACAATGTTTTGTATGTATATCTTAATAAATAAAAATCATAAAAATTATTGCAATAAAAATCAATTATTTAAACTTTTCATTTCGACATTACCTCTTACAAACAAAACTGTAAATGAATTTATGAAATTTGATTTCGATATGATATGGTGAATCGCTGTAATAGATTTTTCGTTGAAAATATCCGAAAAGTCAGTCCCCAACTAAAGTAGGTTCTTCTAGCTAATGAATTGTTTTGAAATGTGATATGTGGATTCACTTCAGGTAAATCTAATGTTATAAATTTATGAAATCGTATTTTCAATTAAATGGGATTTTAGTTTTTCATGTATTTCAATTTATATACAGTTGCAGTGTTCATGATAAATAAACAATTTCATATAGTGCCGAGCGAACCTAGAATCCACTTTGCGATGTGTGCCATACCCATCGCCTATGGAGTTTTTATTACCGCTCTTCGGTGTGACATGGATTCTTTAAAAGTAAATGTTTTGGAGTGGGAGTGAATACAACAGTCGCGTTGTAAGGCAGCTATAGAACGGTTTTCTTGATAAGCCAAGTGACGGAGGGTTCGATAAGTTTCGAATCGGGAGTATTAGTGAGTCACGGAGTGGCATTATGTAAATACTGGCAGCTAAGGTTCACGCAAGGTAGGCAACACTACAGGTGGCTCCAGTCTCTTTACCTACCGTATTCATTCTACCTACATCTCTTTGAATAAGTATATTCTAGAATACTTGAAAATTAAAATGGGCTTAGTTAATTCTAATATAATTAAGATATTGTTAATTTATTTATTATACATCAAGTTAAAAACCATGTGCCTAAAGAGTAAGATTGACTAAACCTACACATAGTATTGTACAAATCATAGGCGTAGACTTTCCATTCTGGTTTTGGGGGAGGGGAACGATGGACCCCCTAAAAAGTCATAGGCGTTTATATTATGTATAAAAATTATGATTTATAATTAACAGTCTATAGCAACACAGGATTTCGGCTGCCATCTTGAAAGGAAAAGCGAATAGTAATTGGAGGATCATCATGTAGGATCATCCTCCGGGGACCTCTGACTTTAAATCCAAATTTGAAAAAAATCGGTTCAGTAGTCTCGAAGAAAATATGCTGAAACGTAAAACCTCAAATTTTGAGGAGGAGGGTTACACTTTTGAATTTTTTGGACAATTATAATGGTTCATTATTGAAATTAATAAACCAAAATAACCTTAAATGTATTTTTTTTTTTACTGATGGATATATTCGAAAATATATTAACAACGCAACTGAATATATTACATATTTTATTTGCATTTGTAGGTTTTAAGAAATGAGATGAACTCTGAGTTTTCAGATGTTCCAAATTTTTCGCGGGTAATGGGATAAAATCTTCACTCAAGTCTTGTACTCGATCAAATCTTGCTAATTCAGT